TTTTTTAATTATATCTTCTGAAAGATTTTGTGTGCAGCCCTTGATGGCTCACCAAAACTCATTAAGTGGCACTCCAGCCAAAATACTTGCCCACTGCTGGCTTACTCCCTCCTGCCAGAATGTTGAATGTGATTGTTATGGTTGCTATTGCAGAGTGCAACCAACAGATAACTCTTTGACCAGGTTCTGTGTGTTACTCAGGTTTAGATCTTGAATTGCTTCTCTTCTTGTGGGTTCCAAGATAGAAAGCATTCCTTTATCACAGCCAGAAATCTTGCTTCCACATTTTGCCGTGATGAGGTGTTTACCCAGTCTATGGAAAGGTAGCTGAAGCCTCATTTTTATTGCTTGTCCCATTCTAGCAGCTTCTCTAATCTCCCTGGGCATTTCATAAACACCTTTACCTTTTTGATCAGGTGTTTGGTAGTACAATTCTACAGGTTCTTGTCCCCAAAAAGTTCCCCAGTTCCTGATTAACGTAAATGCCTCCTCACTCTGCCATCGTCTCATCCATGCATTGAGACTCAGGAGCTCTGCCCATCTCTAGCACTCAGCATGGAATGGAAAGCATTTTGGAGAATGCTATAGTGGAGGTCTTGGACTTCAACCTCCTGCCTTGGGCACCTAAATTTAGCTTCCAGAACCTCTCCCCTTGCTTTCCTATATCATTGATACTGACCTGGGCTACGACCATTAGTTCCTCCCCAGCACCTACTAGTTAGCCTATCTATACAACTTATTAGGTCTTCTACCTTTGAACCTGGCAGGCAAGTCACCATGTGGTCATCCCAGATGTCACAAACCAAGCTGTCTATATGTTCCTAATGATCAAATCCCATACTACGATCACCTGCTTCCTTCTGTCCTGTGGGGTCCCCTCCCTTGGAGGAGTATCCTTGGTGCAAGAGGAAACTGACATCAGCTGGAAGGTGGGTCCCATCTAAGGAATAGCTTCCCTCCTTCCCAGCTTGATGTTCTCCATCCCTGAGGCTGTCATTCTCCTCAGCAACACAGAGGGTGCTACAGGGGAAGTGGGACTGCTCTACAATGTACCTGAAAGCCTATTCTGTGCGTCTCACTGCTGTAGTTCCACCATGCTAGCCTCAAGAGAACATACTTTTTCTCTCAGAGTGAGGAGTTCCCTGCATTAAGCATGCACACAGGAAATCTATGAAGTTCCTTTTCCAGGCAGTGCTCTCTCATATTATTATCATACATTATTTTAAAGTGATAGTAACAGATTGGGTTTTGCCTGATCAGCTCTTTTTAAGAGGCTTATGTTGTACTCTTCACTGAAATCGTTTTATATTCTCTAGCCTTTGGAACATGCCCACTCAAAATCAACCTATCAATGGAATGTAAAGCGTCAGTTCAGTGAGACTTGATCTTTTTGTCCCCAGGGGCCAAATGAGGGATGGGCCATTCCATGGGCCAGATCAAATCCCATGTGCTAGGATCATGTCCTGGGGCCCTGCCCTTTGCTATTTCCACTCAATCCTGCATGCAGGGGTCAGCTTCCAGGGCCCCACGTTGTCTCCATCCAGCCCTGCACCCCAGGATTGTGCTCTAGGGGCTCATGCCACCTCTGCGCAATCTCACACACTAGGATTAGGCCCCAAATTGCATGGGATGCCCAACTTGACTTACAGGGCCACATCTCATGGGGCTCCCCACAAGCCCATGGGGAGCTCCATGTGCCAGATAACAAGACTTTGGGGACTGGATCTGGCCTGTGGGCAGGGGATTGAGCACCCCTGTTCCAGATAATTTCATAAAAGTATACAAAATAGTTGAAAGTGGTGCCAGGGCATCTGAGTCCACATTATTTTGTTGTTCTTACAGAAAAGTAAGTTTCTATTTGCATAAAATTTCTCTTTCCTGTTTTCTGTTGCAAATGAAGGGGGAAGTGCTATACAAAGAAAATATCTAAACTCATTCAGAGTGATGTCAAATGCAAAAGTAAACAATATGCAAATAAACATTTTTTTCCTTTTAATTAAAAGTTTAGGAGCTACTTTTAACGATAGTTAATACAAGATTCAAAAGGATGTTTTTTTCTCAATTATTGTCTTTTAAAAACTTAAGGTCTGAAGAGGAATTATGGAGAAATCCAGTTGAACCTTTGTATGGAGAACCCATCTGAAAATCATTGAAAAGTTACTGACTTGAGACATTTGTATTATTAATTAACTGTTATTAACTGCCTACAGCTCTTAGACCCTGAAGAAGAGAGTATTTTTCCTGTTGTCTCTCATCTTGGCACTCTATAGCTTGGGTTTTATTTGAGTAGATTGTAAGTGCTTAGTTCCACTTATTGGAAATATTTTTTTTCTCTTGTCTATTCTTTTAATAGACTCTGGAAGTTGCAGTCAATCTGGGGGCCAGCAGCAAAGGTATGTATGTGGTTGCTCTTTCCCTCCCTCTCCCACTTTCTTTTGTGCCACATTTATTAGTTTTCTTTGGGGTTGCAAAGTGTGTGGGTTTTTTTGTTGTTTTTTTTTTAATTCAGGATTTCCCACCATGACATTTCATGTGCATGATGATACATACTCAGGAAGGTTCAGGTGCACAGGACGTCTTATTTTGGGCCTTTGTTACAGTCTTAAGCTCAAGTATAAATATATATGAAAGGGAGAAAGCAAACATACTTAAAGCAGACCACAGATGCTAACACTTAAGGACATGGACAATGTCATAAACATACAGCAGTATTTTTCCTTTTTTTTGACTGCCCAAAGTTGTTCACAGGGGTATCAGCAAGAGGTAATGCAAGTACAGTATGTATGATCAAAATAGGAGTAAATTTTCATCCAAGAACTATGGAAAGGTATATACACCACCGCTCTAAAATTGATGTGTGTAAAATTTAAGGGCTTTTAAGAATGGATTCAGAAAATAGCTACAACAGTATTTTCTGCTGCAAACCACACCTTGAAGTTTTTTGTATCCTTTAGCACAGTAACCAGGTGCCTTGAAATCCTTTCAAGGATGCCATACAATATTACCACTGTTAGGTTTACAAATACAATTTATAAGATAAACCCAGAGATTTCGAATAGAAATCTGTAGTTGTGGTCTTTCTGAGTTCTTTGGAACAGAAAAACAGCTCTATTATTTTTTTCTGGAGGTAAAAAAAAAAGAATGAAAACTAAGAGCTGGCATTTTCAGAGAGGTGCCTTGAGTCTAAAGAGGTTGAGAAACCACTGCTTTAGCAAATATTAGATGAACAGGAATTCATAAACAACTGACTTCAAACATCTGTATGTGTTTTAGATTTGGCTTTTTAAGTGATCTGGACTCATGATAAACTTCACTTTAAGTATTCTAGCAGCTTCCAATAAGGCCCAGATCCCATAATAGCGGAGTTTTGATCAGAGTATTGATTTGAACTCTTCCTTAATGGCCTCTACAGATTGTTGTGCTTTTCAACCAGTGTTTTATCAATGCATTGCTAATGTGCTCGTCCCTGTAATACAGTATGTAGGTTAAACACAAATAACAAGTGGTTAAATTAGAAATATTACCAGATGCAGATTCTGTACAAGAAACCTGCAATTTACGTTTTCAGGTAATATAAATAGGTAGTATAGGTTAAGATGCATTTATTAAATAAAATCCCTTATATTTTTTTTACAGTTATTCATCATACAGCAGTCAAGACAATCAGAATTATGGAGAAGGGCAGGTAGGTTGAAGCACAAGTGATGCTTTTTAAAGTAACTGTTTTTCTGAGCAAGAAGTGATTCTTATGTGGCCCTGTCTTTGTTGGGCTGTAGAGCTATTTTCATCCATCATTGGAGTTTCGCTGGTGTGGCCCCCAGTCTAGACAAAGAAATGTGTGGGGTTTTTTTCTCTAGCACCATTTACTCCTGGTGAAAATCTGTCTCTAAATTGTAGGGATATTCTGGCTATGGACAGAGTGAAGAAAGTTCCTCTTATGGACAGAACTATGGAAGCTATCATGGAAGCTATGGACAAAATCAAGCAGGTTTGGCTAGCTTGTTGAATTTATTTTCTGTGGTTAATCTGTGACTATTGAGTAAATAATTTCCTGCTCAATTTTCAGGTTATGGACAAACTTCACAAGGATATAGCAGGGGTTCAAATTATGAAAATCAAAATCAGAGCTCATATGGCCAACAGTCTTATGGCAACCAGGGACAACAAAAAGAATCATCTGGAGGGTGAGGAGACAAATTAACTGTGTCAGTTTCAACTTTCCTTGGACAGAGATACCTGGTTAGGGCCTTAATATAACAACATTAAATCCTCTACAACTCCAAGTTCTGAAAACTTTAAATAGAAGTATAAGTGAAATGACAAACTCTTAAATTACTGTGTTTTTTGTAACCGTTCTCTGTCCAGATTACTAAAGCTAATTTATTGTTTTATAAGCATAAATAAAATCAGATTAAAAAAAAAACCATAATGCAGTATGTTCTAAAAACTCTGTATAATTGTGTGAAAACTGGAATACCAGAAGACATTTGAGGTCTCACCTCCCTCCCACCAGGGCCCTTCCACCAGTTGGCACCAAGGGGAGGGTGGGGCAGGGCAGGGCAGCATGAAGGGCAGCCAACAATCAAGATGGCCCCTCATTCCTCCTTCCCCCAGGGCCTTTCTGCCAATCATTACTAAGGGGCAGGGCTGCTGCAGATTCCTTGCAAAATTGGCTTCGTGCATTGCGAATGGGCCACAAATAGCCCTTCGTCTTGCTGTGATTTGTGATGAATCATATGATGAGCCAATATGATAAACTGTGTTCTCGTGTGGTTCTAATAGTTTGTTTTTTCATTTCCATTGGTTGGTTTTTGCTGTTAATGTAATACCATGTCTTTGATTGTAATGGTTTACAGTTTTCTGCTTTCTTTATTTGGAGCCACCTAGATTCTATCCAAGTCAACAGTGAAATGTTATTTTATTTAAAATGCTAAGTCCTGGACGAAATCAAGACTAGGAAGTTGTGCCAGAATTACTGTGTTCCTGCAGCCATTACACTGTGCTTTGGTATTTGATGAGTATAAACTCTCTTTGCTTCTAATACTCATTCAAGTGTTATTCCTGTTTGTTTTAAGTAGAAGATCCTCTTCATATGAACAGAAGTCAAACTATGATCAGTCGTCTGGCTATGAGCACCAACAAGGCTCATATGACCAGCAGTCCAGCTACGGACAGCACCAAGACTCATATAACCAGCAGTCTGGCTATGGGCAACACCGGGGTTCATATGATAAGCAGTCTGGCTCTGGACAGCACCAGGGTTCATATGATCAGCAGTCAAATTTTGGGAAGAACCGAGGTTCTTATGATCAGAAGTCAAGCTACAGCCAACAGCAAGGCTCATATGGTCAGCCACAGCAATCCTATCAATCTCAGCAAAAGGCAAACTACAACCTCAACACACAAGGTGAAGCATATTGAATGAGTGCAGTGATTTTAAGTTACATTAAGAAGACTTTGATATTCTGTCCCATGAAAAATGTTAGGCTTACTCCTACTGGTGGGTGATTTAAGCCCTTTTTTCTTCATTTTGACATAGGCTTTTCTTGTAGCACTTCATACAGAGATGAAGAACTCTAATTTCACAAGGTTCGGTAGAGCCATGTGTCTGTGAATGACAGAACTGGTAGATTAGGGTTTTCTGTGATTCTTGGATGAGCATATTGTATAAAGCTATTGTTAACGTATTTCTTGTGTGTGTATTTGGAAACACGGAGCTTGAAAGGGTAGCTCTTGACACACGTGATATGTCACGTTCAGTGCTGATTTTATAAGGCTTTCCTGTCTTTCCAGTTGCCCTAGTTGAATTAACCAATATCTGTTGATTGGAAAGGAGCACAACTGACTGAAAAACAGCACCCCTTTTTATTAGTATTTGTTTTTCAGTCTAAAGTGTGTTTTTAAGGGGAGAAAATAGTATGTACAAAGGGTGAGTTGCACCCAAAAGGCATTAGGGACCAAACTTCTGCAATGCTTAATTCAATTAGCTAGCAAGATAAAAATGGAGAAATTTACTTAAAGTTTGTATAGTAAATGTTGCTACTTTTGTGTTGTTTCTTTGCTGACAGTGGTTGAAACAGGTGGTATTACCATAGGCAATTTAAAACTGTATGGGGAATGAATGAAGGAGCAATGGAACCTGCAGAAAAAAACATGTTTTATCATTACCTTGCACACAGTGTGCACAAAAAAGTGTCTGTCCCCAGAGTTAGTGCAGAATACCAGGTGCTTTGTAAAATTACATCCTAGTTAGTAGAAAAATCAAGAGACTTGCAGCTACTGCTGAAGAGGCAGAAGGAGTTAAAAACTTGAGAAAGAGGTCTCCTCTAAGTGGCATTACAGAAGCTACAGATTCAGAACTGACTAGCATTAGATCTCTCTCCCAAAACTTTGTGCCTCCCTTTCTTTGCTGCTTCCTCATCAGAGCTTGTTAGAGGTGGAAGGAAATTAATCTCCTCGGGTATAGAAAAGGCACCCTGAAATCTGTCTTTAGCTCCCTGCATAGTGTTCTAATCTGCTCTGTTCATGACAGCATGCACCTCTTCACTTGATAAATAAGTAGGGATGTACCAAATTCATGACAGGAGTGGGGTGCATAGCGGCTCCTTTAATCTTGCAGGTTCCCCTGTGCACCCCCCCACCCCACCCCCGTAAATGGTGCCATATTTAACACTGCAATTTCTGCCTCCCTTCTGATCAGGAGCGAGTATCAGAGCCCCTCCACCAATCAATGGTGGGGGTGCACAAGGGAACCTGCAAGATTAAAGGAGCTGCTGTGCAGCCCACTCCTGCCGTGAGTTTGGTAGATCTCTGTAAATAAGCAATTAGCACTGTGGTTCTTAACCTTTTTAGACTTGGCACCCTGGTTGAGAATCACTGGATTAGCATCTGAATTTTAATTTTTCACACCATATTACTCGGATATCCTTTTTCCAGGGTAGGAAAATTCATCCTGGGGTTTTTAGACAGAAATTATGTAATCGCCATATGATTCTGAGGAATATTCTAGAAGATCGAGTGAAACATTGGAGCCTGTCTTGGTTTTTTAAGTCCTTGTGACTTTTTTGGAAAAGATATAACAATTTAACTATAAATTAGACTTTAATGGTTTTTAAATGACAAATTTTAAGCATACTGTTTAATCATAATTTACATCGCAGCTGTGTTTTGTGGTTTCCTCAGACGATCGTCATGAAAAGAGTAGGTATGGAGAAGAGAATAGAGGATATGACAGGTCACAGGGAGGAGGTAGAGGGGGATATGACATGGATGGAAGAGGTCATATGTCTGGATTAAGGTAAGTGATTTAATCCTGGTATCTGCAAACATCATTTTTATAGCTTGCTCTGTAAATGTATTAGTTTTAGTGTATAATTTAGACCAGGGTTATCAAATGGACCCTGTGGACCAGACGAGTGGCTTGGGGCCTGGTCAGGCCCACAGACTGGCCTGTGGCTTGTTTGGTGCAGATGCTGCATGCAGAGCACACCCCAGCCACACATAACATGTGCAGCACGTGCCCTGATTCATCCCTATTGCCACTAGGGATGTAAATACCAATTAAATAAATATTTGTTTAACCTGTTGTAATTATAAACAGGTTAAGCAATTAATTAGTCTAGTGTGGGGTTGGAGACGGGCATGGCAGCACTGGGCTTCAGCCTCTGGCTCTGCCATGTGATGGGGGAGGAGGGGGTTGCTGAGCACCAGGCCAGTGCCTGCCCTGCCCTGCCCTGCCCTGCTGTGGAGGAGGTGATGCACCCACCCACTGGGAGCTAGGGGCCATAGCAACCCTGCTAGACCGGCAGCACAACCCAGGAAGCCCCAGGTGGTAGCAGCCAGTGAGGGGCGACAGCTGCTGGTCCTCAGTTTCCCAGGGCCACCTGCAGCAGTGCGGGGAGAAGGAGAGAAGCAGGCAGCAGCCAGCAAGGGGCTTTATGCTGGGCCTAGGGTTACCATATTTCCAGAATCAAAAAAGAGGATATCTGTGAGGGGGTGGGAGAAGTGGGGGAAGAGGAGGGAGGGGCATATGATTGGGAGGCAGCGATATGCCCCCCCCCCCC